ATATTCTCAGCCGTAAAGGCCTTACGTGCATGCGTCAATAAGACGCATGTGCAGAAAGTTTGAAGCTTTGAGGTCCGGATTATGGGTGTCCGAATTAACGACTTTTGACTGTATTTGACAGGGTTTTGTTTGAATTTGTTCCTACCTCTAATATAAATGGTGCAATACTCGAGTTTCTGGGCATGAAGCACTACCTTGATTGAAATGATTGATACCTCGATTGATTTTTTTTGATACCTCGATTATTTCTTTTTTGTAAATGAAAAGTTCATAAAATGGTGTATGAAAAATAACTCTTTCTTTTTTAGGGTATGAATTCCTTTGTTATGTAACACTAAATTTGGAGATTATCAACATTTTGTTGATTTGAAGATCGGTTTGTACACAAAATTTTAGAATCGTGATTTTTTGTTTGTTTGCAGACATAACAACTTTGCTAAATATCATCAAAGTAATTATATCAAAATTATGTTTTTAAAATAACATTAAAGTAATACATATTTATCATTTTCCATTTTGGTAACAAGAATCTTTTGGTTCTAGGAAATGAGCAAGATAAAGAATGCTGTAAAGCATAGTTTCTGAAATATTTCTCAACCAAAGCAAAAAAGCTACTGTAATTATTTTAAAATTAATTTCATATGCATATTTTATATTTTTCACAATTGTTTTAGGGGTACTATTCGGTTTCAAGGGCCGTAAAAAATCGCCAAACTATTGTTGATGCCAATGATGCCAAAAATAATTGCGGCAACCCTAATAATTGCGACAAGAAAGGAAGTATAATAGTAAATAACTAAGATTGATGCTTTAATTTAGATGAAAGGTTAATTTCATATAATACTCTTTTATTATTATAATTTATATGAAAAAGGCTAAACATGACTGAATAGAAGCACAAGAGTAAATAACTATTTCAAATCATTATTATAATTTATATAAAAATTGCTAAACATAACTGAATGGATGCCTCCATAGCTATTTCGCTACCGAGTTATCGCTAAGCATAATTTTATCTCGTTGGTTGTTCAAACATAATTTTCTATAATGAATGATGCCTTTTCTTTGAAAATATTCTCGGTAAAGTGCAGAATCGCTCACTTATTTGTTTGCCGCTTTTTACAAGGGTTAAAAACAATTGGATTTTTGTCAATTTTCTTTTACTTTTTAAGTTAAAATAGGTCAATGTAGATAAAGTCAAGCGTGTGCACAGTGCCATTTTTGTGCAATTCTGGTATTTTTTTTTAAGTGAAAATAGGCCGATGTGTTCATGGTTACTGAGTATGTGCAATTCTTAAAAATGCGTCAAGAAGTGGGTGATTCTGCACTTTACCCAAAGTTCTATTGCCGAGTTTTCGTCATGGGCAATTCCCAAATTGTTAATCCATAGGATATCAAAAAAGGATTTAAAAATTAAACTAGTATTTCAATGGTGTCTTGAGAAATATAGAACTATATAAACTTACGCAATCTGAAATCAGTGCATACGCTAGATTTGGGGCACTGTTAAATGGGTGCGTTTGCTAGATTTGGCGCTTTTGCGTGTACATTTTTGCTGCAATTTTTTTACGGCCCTCGAAAACAAATAGTACCGTTTTAGGATATTCAAATGTGTATCAGTTTTATTTGTAAAATCCACATTACAGTCTTTTTTCAGAATGTTTTTTCAATCATCTTGCTATTTGCTCTTATAGAATTGGTAAGGTTAATTTTTCTTTTGAATTTTAATCTTGCACCTCGGAAGGTGTAAAAGGATTTGAAGGCATGATTTATTGACCTATATAATTTTAAAAGATTCCAAAAAATTGTGCCAAAAGGAAAAATGTCTTCATGGTATTAACATGTAATGGATGTGTTTTACAGTCTATGATGAATTTATTTTTTAAGACGTTTTGTAAGAACAGTAAAAACAAAGTTTTTTTTTAATTTTGTACTTTCAGTTCGGGAAGTCTTTCTCTTAACATGCTTATTTTTTCACATAGAGAGTTAAAGGTGCCTGAGTGTTTGGAGGCATTGAAATGAGGCATACAAGTTTTTCTTCTTTTGCATTTGTTGAGAAAATCATAAAAAAGGATGAAGTTGTTATGAGAAATGTTAAATATGTACTATAGTTGTCTCAAATTGTTGGAAAGGCATGTAATTTTTTTTATATACCTATTATTCAGTCATAGTATGATAGTAAAGAATGATACACCCTTCAGTCAGTCATAGTATGGTACTTAAGGACACTGTTTTTTGGGCTCACATAAACTCAACTGAAGGTTTGTGGAACTCTTTTTGAGTGATCTCTGTATGAAACTGCGATTTAATTTCCTTTAAGATCAATACTTTGGATCTGTCAAATCTGTCATGGATTGGATGAGTTTTTGGATAGAGGTATAAGTAGAAATGTGCATGTAGGAAAATATGATTAGAGGTTGAGATGTCATTGTTTAAATTTACAAAAACACAAGTATAATCATTGTAAAAGACTGTTTGGAACCTGGTTGGTTAATAAAAAACATCATAAAATATTTGTACCTCCATGACCACCAAATCTTGAGAATAATGGTATGAAATCCATGTTCAGCCTATGTGAGAAAATATAATTCTTTGTCTAGGGAGGGAGATAGAAAAAAGTTCATCTCTTTTTTTTTTTTAAGTCTTGAGATAGAAATTACTAAAATTAATACCCAGTATGTAAGTTGCATAAGAATAAAACAATCTGAATAGGTTCATGGGGTCTTGATCTTTAGCTACTGTAGGTTAATTAATATATTGGCTAGAAGCTGCCACACTAGTTAAGATATCAATTTAAGTGGAACTATTTATTTTTAAATGAAAAAATAATTTTATAGAAGTCAAAAGAAATTGGTTTTAAAGGAGGGAAATCATGATTTTTAATAGTTTACTAATAAATATTTAATCCAGAATTGTATCAAAAATTTTATTCAGAAAATCCAGTGCTGAGACTGGAGTTAAAAAAATTTTACTGTGAAAGTTATTATTTTTATGTCATGACTTTATTTGAAAGCCTTAAAGCTGCTGCAGGGGAAATAACAAAAAAAGGTGACAGAAAAAATAGATTGTAACTTACTTTGAAGCACAGGGGGAAAAAAAATTGTATCTGTAAAATTTACTTAAAGATTAAAAAGTGAATTCAATCTAACATATTTTAAGAATATTTTCTTATTCTATGAAGCAAAAATTATCTACTTCTTGCTGCATAAAGTGTATAAAAGGGTACATTCTTTATGACTACTGGAAATATCTACAATACTAAGTCCAAAATCTGGAATCAAGGCCACCAAGCAAAAAATAAATAAAATTAAATCGTCCCTTCTTTAAAACATCTAGGAATAAGCAATATGTAACAGAAGGAAGTAGAATAAAGACTATAATAACAAAAGAAAGCAGGATTGCTGTAAATGTAAATTTTCTCGAGACTAACTGAAATTCTTACGTGCCAACTTTTAAAAACATGCTAGCTAAGGAGTTGATGCTGTATTGAAGTTAGCCAGGATCATACTTTCGGCCCTTAAGTGGTTTTGTGTGTGGGGGGGGTAGGGTTGTTATCACTATATTTTGCGCTCTGTGCTTTCTAAATTCTGCTACCTAATACCTCCCTATATTCTAAAAATTTTGCCACTGCTAAATTCTACTGCCCAGTGCCTTTCTTGAATTCTGAAAATTTTGCCATTCTTAATTTTTGCTGCTTGATGTTGCTCTAAATTCCAAAATTTTTGCAGCTCATAAATTCGGCTGAAGCGATTGCACCTGCTCTGATGCTTGCCTTGTAGGTGTTAGCATTTTCCCATCTAATCTAAACAATAAGTGAAATTGAATTTTGCATGTCTGTATGCCATCTTACTACATTTAAAGCAATGATCTAAACTCCAGAAATTTCCAAAATTCGGAATTGCCCAATGATTCTGGATCTCAAGCTTCATACATTTTTTTCTCATAAACTGAACTGATAAGTGAAGAAAACCAAATCTCTCTGTTTGGTAGATTAGTGTGAATATCTTCTACAGAAATTTTTGAAAATGTTGAAACTTTGAGTAGAGAAAGAAACAGCATTTTTACTCTCTTATGTACTTCAGAAACTGTCTATCAAAAAATATCATTGACTAAAAGAATGGAATTGACTCAATCAGTAGTGGTAATTTATTATTACTACTTTTTTTACTTACTTTTATTTATTATTACTATTATTACTACTATACTTTCTGCAACTGAATGAAAATTGGGATAATTCTTCCTTGTGTCCAATCCACCAGGACTTTAATCGAATGACTGCTTTTCTTCTGATTAAACTCCTGTTTTTAAATATCTAGTTAACTTTTTGCAGGAGAACTTGTAAGAAAGCAATAGTAATTGAAACTACCGCCTCTGAATTTCATGCGTTTGGAACTTCAGAGTTTTCAAAATTTGTGAACTCATTATTAAAAGGGTAAAAATAGTAAGGATTCTCTTCTGTTCAGTGAAATTTATTGTACAAACAGATATTGAAGATAAAAAAATTGCAATTTGTAAAAACCAAATAAAATTTTGTAGTAGTTGAATCTGCCCCCATTATTGATTTAAAGATCTGGGAGAAATGTAGCTCATAAGCAAATGTTCTCTTTGACAATGGTTTGCTTGCTGACGTTTTACCGATTTGTTTATTTTTATTCACATATCAGGATGGCAGTTTCCATCTGCATATGCTTATAGCCTTTTTCATATGTGTTTAAGTGAAAAATATTGGAATGCAGTATTTTTACAACTTTCTAGGAGTTGAAATAGGAGTTCAGCACTTATTTATCTTGAAAATTGTACCTCTTTTATTGGTAAAATTTGGGTTATGTGTTTAGTTTGTATTTTCTCTTTTATTACAGACTTTTAGAAGTATTAAAGTGTACTCTAAACAAAGTTTATTTTACGGGTTCCTGTTCTAAGTAATCTTTTATAATTTTAGCACAACAAAGTCTAGAGTAATTAATAATTAGTATATGTTTGTTTCTTTAAAATATTTTCAGGTGAAGTGCTGAGAATTCATTTTTTCCTACTCTCTTGTTCTTCCATCTTCATCAGAAAAGCGGCTACTGAATGCAAATTCTTATTTTATCATGAAAGGACCAGCAGAAAAAAACGTATAATACTGATTTCTTATTATATCAAAAATTAGTAGAATTCATATGCATTTATATATTTTCTTGATAGACATTCAGAGTTTTAAATTCTTAGACTTAAAATTATATATTTTCCATTTTTTCTACCATATTTTGAATTTTGGTTGCATAATTTAAAATTTAATAGTCTGTAATTAATGACTTCTAAATTAACTGCTATGTTTTTTGTATTATGTATTGAGATAAGATTATTGGGTTGATCTTTAGCTTATGGTAACTTGACGAATTTTTGGCGACCAACTCTCCTACAGCAACCCTCTATTTTTTTTTTTTCCCCCGCCGGCATTTTGTCTTCACGAAGTAAAGACATGTTTCTTTTCTTTTTATCTACTGAACACTTCTTCCAACAATCTACTAGCCGAATTACACTTATGCTAGAAATTTTATCTAACAAAACTGCTTAATCATGACAAATATTCACTGCAAAATTGAGAAAAGTGCACAATACCATATTCCTTACGCGTTTTTCAAAATAACACATACACATAAACCATGTACACGTCGACTTATTTTTACTTAAAAAAACATCCCAAAATTACACAAAAATGGCATTGCGCACACTCTTCACTATATCCACGTACACTGCTTTTTTCTCATAAATTAGAAAAATTTCACAAAAATACATGACAATTTTCTGAATCTTTAAACCTGGTAAAAAGAACATATATGAAATTACCTGATCACGAAAAAGTATATAGCCTTTCCAAATATGAACATTTCCACATATAAAATAAATAAAATATCCCAAAACTGCCTATTATATTATAAACGTCACCAACGAATTCATACCGCAAGCATTACAAATACTTAGTGTCAAATATTTAAATTATTTCCATGCACGTTTACTTCAACTAAAACGTATACCAAATTCCTACAAACATAAAATTCACAAAATAACTATCATTTAATTAAAATATAATTAAATTCAAAAACACTACTTAAAATATAAATAAGCACATACCATTAAATTAATAAAAATTAGCTTACAATCCTAATTACTTTAAACTAAATCATTGCTAATAACAATTTTTCGCAATAATACCAAATTACTTTACTTCCACCTTACACTTAGAACAATGCATAAAAATAATATCCTCAAATAATTAAAAAACTACCTTACCTAATCTTCTTCAGAATCTTTGCTTACATGGTGGATACACTTTTATTATGTATTCAATAAAATTATTGAACGACTTTTTTCTGCGAATTTTTCCTCCACACTTACCTTTGCTAAATAAAAAGCAAAATTCTCTTTATCACAATGCCTACGGAATGGCGCTTTTTATATCACTCCACGTGCCCTCTGAAACTGGTATGTTATGTGCACCCGTTTCCCCAGGATCTTTAAAATAATATTTTATGGTTCACAGCAAGATGTTTAAAACCTTCATCCTTCCAAACATTCATACGATTTTTCACTTTAGACAGCGCCATACAATCCCAAAATTATTCAACCCTACTTCACACAACACACAATGAAGCTTAATACAAAATAATATACAGCTACAGATATTTTTCCAAATTCTCCCCTTTTCCGATTAAAGAACCGTAATTCATCCATTAATATCACATGACATATCTCATGATCTCTCATTTCCCTCACACAAAATAATGCGTAATCGGAACTGAGTACTGCTCACATTATAACCAAAGTCCCAGGTAGTAACCTTTATCGCCTCCAAAATGTCGCCAAACTACCAGTTACCATATTCTAAAGATCAGCCGATTATTGTTAACTTGTTTAATGTATATCTTTTGTCAGCATGTAATGAATAGTTTGTTACATACTGTTATGGATAGTTACTTGTATTTAAATGAATGTGCTTGTAAATTTAGTTAGAATAGTTACTTGTTATTAAGAGATATTCTGGAGCTGAATTACTCATTAAATGTAAAAACTGTAGTGAAGAAAAGTAGGGAAGATATGATGGTTTTTATTTGTAAAGAGCATCTTTGAAATGTGTTAATTACCTTTCAAATGCTGATATTCTTTTTCAAACATGAAAGCTAGTTTCCTTTGTAATTTATATATATCCGAGAGTTTGAATTATTTATCTGTATAGGGATTTTTTTGATTGAAAATTATGTGCAAATGTTTTATTTCTAATTATAATTTTCTTTCTAGTTTGAAGGCCTTTATTCCAATCCACGCTTTATGCATCAAGCTGGATTAATTGTAGTAAGTAAAAATGTTTCGTTATATGTATTACTAGCAGCTTCGCTGCCAGCTTTCGTCTGGCTTTTAAATGTACTGGGAAAATGGCTGAAGGGAAAACCAAACGTTAAATTTAAAAGCTGCGTAGAATTTTACTCTGCAGAACAACTTCATAAAAAAAGTTATTACATATAACAAAATTACAATGAAATAAGCAATATCCCTTAATACAAATATTAATTATCCTAACAAATAAATTAACCAACTTCTCTTTGCAAAATCTTACGAACTCAAATGATAAAAAGGAGGTTAAGAACTTTGCTTCCTAAAAAAATCACTCAAAACTTTTCAATAGCTTAAAAACAGTGAAATAAGCAATAAATAACATAAAAGAATACAAAAAATTCTGAAAATCAAAGTATAATTAATGATATTTTATCTCATATTTTCAAGAGAAAAATATTACAATGAAATAAGATATCCCTTAATACAAATATTAATTATCCTAATAAAAAAATTAACCAACTTTCCGTTGAAGAAAACAAATCATGCAAAACTTTTCAATATCTTACAAACAGTGAAATAAACAAAAATTAACATGAAAGAAAATTAAAAAAAAAAAAAAAAAAAAAAAAAAAAAATCCACGCAGAATTTTACTCTGCAGGGCAACTATAAAAAAAATCAATAAAAATGTATTATATATATATATAAATGACAACGAAATATGCCAACCTCTTAAAAACAGTGACATAAGAAATATTGTTACGAATTTGGTATTTAAACAGCTAATGTTAGTTCAATTATAAATTAAATGGTTTTATTTCCCACGCAGTGCAGTGCATGATGAATGTTAAAAGAAAGCTAAGCTGGAAAATTGAAAATACAAGAGTGCGTGCATTTAACATTTAATAAATATCTCTTTTTGATTTCGAGAAAGTACTAGAAAATTCTCGCACACGATTTTTAAAATCTTATAAAAGTAGGAAAACCTCTAGGTTTGGGGTAGTTACGTAGTTTTTTGTTGTTTAGAAAACTGCTCTTGTTGACTGTAGCGAATTCGCGTATTAGCTTTCTTTAGCTGTTTTGAATCAAGTTCTATTGAACGTTTGAGTAGTTAGAAAATAACTACTGTGATATATTGTGATACTGCACGATTATTTGAGGATATTTAATCATATTTGTTGTGATAATTAATAAATTTTCTTAATTTTTCATCGGACTTGTGCATTCATTTCGTAACGAACCCGTACGCACGCAACAATATGATTAAAAATAATAAATATTTCTTATGTCACAAGTGACATAAGAAATACGATGAAAAATTGTTGCCAAACCCATATTTCTAAAAGATGAACTATTCAAAATGATGCGATTTCACAAAAATCTCTCAACAACAATGAGAAAGGAAATGTTGCCAAACCACATTTTAAAGATTGAGAAGTGTACTCGGAAGCTTCATTATCATGAACACATCCAATTCTTTTTGTAAAAGCAGTCGCAAGGATTGAAAGTTTAGCGTGTCCAAAAATCAAAGAAAATAAACTGTACATTTTTAAAAATAAACTCTTTAGAAAAAATCCCGTTAAAGGTGTTAAGCTCGCTTTGTTAAATAAATTCGTATTTAATCGATTTATTGAAAAACACGAAAGTATTTTAAGTTCGTAAAAATAGGTAAGTGCCTACGTTTCATGACGATGTGAAAATGGAGTGTGTAGAGTAAAATCTCGCTTTCCTATAGCCCATTATGTCTCAAAATGACGCTATTTCGTCACAAAACATAAAATAAAAAAGTTCGAATTTCGAAAAAATCGCTTCGAGGTGCACTGGCTCTTGTCTAGATGCACCTATGTACCAAATTTCGTAGCCGTGGGTCTATTAGCGTACGTGCAGCACAAACAAAAGACACACACACACAGACAGACTCTTTGTTTTATTATATGTAGAGATTTAAGATTTTTATAATGATTTATACTGAAATGTGTATAGGCTTTGGTCTTGGAAGATCTTGAGATTTCGGCAATATCAAATTCGTCTTTAACAAGAATGGGTGGAAGGATTTGGGCAAAATATAAAGAATATTCAAAACCTCTTATCGGAGATGTTCATAAAAGCAAAGAAGCTTCAGAAATGTAAAACAATGCAGTATGAAAGTCAAAGTGAATATGAAGAAACAGAAGAAGACATCCCTTCAAAAATTGATCATGAAAGAAGACAGAAGAAAACTATTGAATGGAAGTAGAGGATAGTAACTATCTAGAGAGGATATGCGTGCATTTAATCATTTGCCATGCTTTTAGAAATGAAGATTAAAAGATAAACGAATATGTACAAGATGATGTGAAACGTTTGAGAATATCCTGTCACTTTTTCTATGCTGTTTGGGGCTCCATTTTGCTTGTTTTCGTAGAACATTTTGTCCAAGACATGAATTGCTTGTCATGATGTAAATGGTGCAGAAAAGGAGTGAATTCTTATCTTTTTATATAAGTTTTCTTCATATAAGATCTTTTTTCCAAGACAGACTCTTTTGTAATGTGTTTGGCTGATATTTTAGGGCAGGATTCTTATGAATGATTACCATTGCATCAGCTTTTTTTATTTAAATTCTGTTCGTTTGTGCAGAATGAATCAGCATGTGCTGGTGTTGCAGTGAAAGGTTAGGATATCTGTGATGCAGCATAAAACTGGCAGTTGCAGCGTGACAATACTCCAGCATATTCATCCCATGTAATCCAGTGTTTCTTGGCGAAATGTGGAATTCTATTTGTTCACCAACCTCCCTACTCTCAAGACATAGTTGTTTCTGCAGTTTAAGACGGCATTAAAAATATCTTGTTTGGGAATTAGAGAAGATATAATGCAGAACATGATACAAACACCATTACGAAAAATGTCTTCCAATAAGGTTTTTCGGCAGTGGAAGGCTTAGTGGGCTAAAATGTGTTTAAAAAGTAGCTAACCTAAGGCAAGGTGCATAGGTTGTCTATTTTTTAGTCAGCCCTTGTTCATTATTTCACTTTCATTATATGAAAAAAATAATAAAATGCATTTTTCATTTGACTTTTTTTCTTTTGAAAGATTTTATTTGTAGATGAAATATTTAGTATACTGTTTTATTTAGAAATTAAATTTTGGATTACATGTTATTTATTTAGTTCAATTAAATTACAGATACTTAGTTGATGTATATTTTATTACACAGTGATATGTACTTTTTCTGTTTAGGGATGCACTGTTCATATACAAGTTAAAAGTGGTTCTGTCTATGAAGGTGTTCTCTCAACAATCTCAAGCAAGGTAATGAGTATATTAAATTTAAATATGCATTTTATTTCGTGGTTCAAAATGACATTAAAATATAAAATTTCTATATTTTGAATTTTATATTGTAGGCTGATTTTGTACTTGAAATGGTTCGTAAAATTGATATTAAGAAACCTGTCAACAATTCTGCTGCTGTTTCCAATTCTACGCTGACTTCTATTACTGACCCACAAGAAATCACTGAAAAAATGGTATTCAGGATTGCAGACTTGGTTATGGTAACTGCTGCCAATGTTGATCCTGAATACGCAACACGAGGTATGTAGAATTTTGATTAGGATTTTTTTAGTAGATGTTTTAATTAGTACCATTAATTTACATATTTTTAATCCGATCAAAAGATGTAATGCATTAATTTGTTGTGAGGTCACAGTTTTAGAGAGTAGAGCTGGTTTTAGTATCATGGTTTTTATGACTAGAGCTATTTTAAGTAATTTTTATGCTCCACCAAATTTTATTTACTTGGTAAAAGTTACTGAGAAAATTCTTTTGGAGACTGGTGTGGCATTTGAACTTTGAATTTAGTTCCATCATTTATTATCAAATTGTACATTGAACAACTTAATCAAGTTCTACCAAATATTTAATTTTAACAAATTTTTTATTAAATGTTTGATATAAAGAAGTTATGAACTTTTAAAGATGCTCTTCTGTTATAGGCTCCGGATTCAGAAATGTGTGCATGCACATGTGTAGCATACATGAACACATCCATTTCTGAAGCCAGTCCTGATAATAAAAGAATACTCTTTTAAATGCTTAAAACTTGATTTAATATCTGAAATTTTATTTTCAGTTCTGAAGGAAAGTTTTATAGCTTGACAGAAGTCATTTAATCATATTACTAAAGCCCTGTTCATATACATGTGTGCATTAAGCTTAGCCCTGTTCTCCAGTCGTGTAGTATATGTGTGAGAACAGAACTTGGCTTTTTAAGCTAAATGTTTTCAGCTCTAGTAATAGTAAGCAGAAATGATCTTGAATGATGCATACACTTTAGCACTCATATGTAAATAAAGCCTTAAGGGTTAAAATTTTTCAATTAAAGTGTAAGCTTTCATAAAAAGACATTGTTTCTGCAAATGAGGTTTCATATGCACAAAATCACTGATCTATTTAACCTCCTTCCCACAAACGGGATTGGGAATTTCTATATGTTCCAATAGTATTAATTTATCAAAAATAAGCACCGCAAATCCTTAGTATGAATAATGGGGATGGAACATTGTGTGTCCAAAATATGTTTACTGAAACTGAATCCAAATTTTTTGTTTGAAAATAAAGATAATTTTCTTAAAAATAGCTGGAAATCTAAATGCATTTATTTTTTTGCTGCTCTTCATGAAAGATAAAACAGTATCAGAATGAAATATGAATTATGGCTAACATTGTAATGCAGTAAATTGAATTAGTGGTTTAAGAAATGTAAAAATATTCATTAAATTCTCTTTTCTAAATTATAATGAATTTATGAAATTTGAAGTAAGTTTGAGTTATAAAGTTGAAAAACATTTTATTATTTTAGTAAATGTGGGGGCAGTCCATATCCAGAATATATTATTTTGCTAACTGTAAAAACTCTAGTGCAAAAAAATGTAAATTTTACACATTAGAAGACTATTTATTCAGTTATAGAATTTTTAGGCAATAGTTTGAAAAACGTAAAATTACTCCCCCCCCCAAAAAAAAACTTCAAATGATTCGTGAAATTAAATGTATTATTATTGAGTAAATGGCAATATATCATATCTCCTTAAAATGAGGAGAATCTAAAAAAGAAAATTTGCATTTCAAATTTAAAATATGCTTTTATTAATGTTATGAGATTTTTTTTTTTTTTTTTTTTCCTTTATAAGCAATGAAAATCACTCTTCACAGTATTCTCTGTTAAGAAACAAAAATCAGAAATCTTTTAAAATTGATGATAATGGTGTATACATATATTTTTCATTTATTTGCCTTTAAACTGAAAAAAAAAAAATTCTTTTGTTATGTTGTAGAGAGTTTTACCGATAGTGCTATTAGCAAATTTAATGGTCAAGTCCTCGAAAAAGAACTAGAACCTTGGGACGGTGGTTCTTTGTCTGCTGATGGCTTGGCAGACCTTGGTGGGAGTGAAGAAGAAGCGGTATGATTACATTTTCCTTTTCATTACACTGAGTTTTATTGCTTAAATTTTTCTTAAGCATAAGGAGAGATAGAACTCTGCTTCTCTTCAAATGTATATATTTTTCTAATTTTTAAATTTATTTATTATTACTAAAATTAATTTTGATATGAGTTTGAATTTTACAGTTTTCATAATAATTTTGAGACAACTGTCGAAAGTAATAAATTGATTTTATATCACAAAGCTGCCAGCTGTTCTGTCTTTCATTACTTGTCTTGATCGCCAGATAGATCACTGATTCTCTTATTTTTTAATTTCTAGTCTTTTCACTAAGGACAGTGTTTTTCAGCAATAATTGGAATTTATTGAATTAATGAAACTTAAATTGTGCAAATTCTATTCCAGCTCCCATCTCTAGTAATTTTCAACATAATTTATTATTAGTAGTATTATATTTAATTTGATCTGAGTTATCTATCTTCTGTAAACATTTTTAGAAATTTTTATGAAAATTTAACCAGTGTCTAATCAGTTAATAATTGTATTTAATTTTGATTTATATCAATACATGATGCATTACTAAGTTTATTCACCCAATAATATACACATTGATTATTAATAATATTTTTGTCATATTTAAAAGCACTTTGATAAATACTTACTAATAAACAGACTAAAGTAAATATTGATTTATTGCAGAAGTTCTCAACTTTTTGACTAATGCGTACCATCTAAGCAAAAATGGAAAAACTTTAGTACCACGACCAAAGTGCTACTACTACCACTACCACCACTCTTGAACAAAAGCTCAGATTGCATAAATTTATGAGTGTTGGAGAAAAAACTCAATCAGGATGTTGGGGTTTTAATTTTTGAATTTAATTGTTAAAAATACTTTGCTTCTTTGCATACCACTTATTTTTCTCTTGTGTACCATCGGTTGAGAATCCCTGATTTATTGTAAGAAACAATTCTGGAAATTTATAGATTTAATCAAGCTTTAAATTAAAAATTTATAGTATGTGAAGCTTGCACATACCAAATAATAAAGCATATCTGATGAGTTATGATTTCTGTTAAATCATTTAATTTATATGAAGAGATATATGAAAAGCCTAATGTAAAAACAACAATTGAAATGAAAGGAGATTTTGTATTACAAAGATATTGAGCTGAAATAAAATGTTGTATCTGCAATAATAAATTGGTTCTGAGAAAAAATAGTTAATTTGAATGGGATATCAACACTGCTGAAACTTTATTCTATTAATTCTTTTTAATCAGTCATTCCTCTCTGTCTAAAAAAAGGTTGTTACTTTAAGTCATTTTTCATATATTTGTATGAAATAATTTTATGTTAATATTAGTGTGTGTATTAACCTATGTATTTTCTTTAATTGCAGAATGGATGGGATCCAAATGACATGTTTCGCACTAATGAGGAAAAGTATGGTGTGAAATCATCTTTTGATAGCAATTTACCTGGTTACACGTAAGTATAAATTTATGTGCATGTTATCTTACTGATGCAATTCAATACCAGGATATCTTTTAAAAAAGTATGTAATCAAAAAAAAAAAAAAAAAAAAAATGGTTAACTGTTTTTATTAACTACAGTAGATTTCCAGTATGCGTAGTGGTGAATAAATGAAATCACTAGTATAAATTTCAAAAATTACTTAATAGCATAGTGTTGCTATATTACAACAGTTAACACTTCATTTTTTAATTGACTTTATAGAAAGAAAATCAAAAGCAAAACCTTTTAAAAACAAATTTTTTAGATATTATGTTTCTAGTTAAGACATCAATGACCAGGTTGCTTATAATGTATTGGTAAATGTATTTTGCCCAATGCTAAAATTAATACTGCAATTAAGCTTAAAATATAATAGCTGAATTCTTATTCATACCTTAATTTCAAGTATTCTATGTAATTACTCTCAGTCTTCACAGTGAACAACAAATGCCAGCCGGAGTGATTTAGTTTACTTACTATGTCTAAGAAAAATAACTTTTATTTACTGTACTAATTATAAGATTTCAGGTGGGCCATATATCATACACTGAAAATGATATTTTGTTTTAAATGTAAAACCATCACATCACTTTTATTTTTTTGCTCACAGCTAGCATATTTATTGTTTTGTTTTTCAGTGCTAGTTTAAAAAATCTTCACATAAAAGGTACTTTAATTTTGTTCCTGATAAATTCTTCTTTATTAGTATACCACTGAATAAGCAAAATACTGAAGAGTACAAGCAACAGGAGGCAAGGGCTAGTAAAATAGCTCAAGAAATTGAAAGTGGATTTCATCATAAATCTAGAGCTGCTCTAGAAAATGGGGATGAAGAAGACAGATTCAGTGCAGTTGTGAGGCCTGAGAATACGAATAACTTTAGGTATTCTGCTTCATAAGAGTTCACATTTTGATTAAAATTTCTGATTCAATTTTTGAAAATTGATTATTTAATGATTTTTATTTCATTAATGAATTGCATTGAGAATAAGATTTTAGAAATTTTATAGTGCAAAATAATAAATTAATAATTTTAATTAGGTATGTATCGCATCGCACAAGGAAACCACAGAATGTTCGAAACATTCGAAGTAGTCCTGCGCCTTCACATCATACCAATAGGAATTCTCACCAGCATTCCCAAGTGTTTCATAGAGTATCTAGTCCAGCTACAGCTGTCAATAATTCTCAGGGAAATTACAAGATGGTGAGCTCTGTCTCACCTCCTACTTGTGTATCAACGATATCTCCACGGCCAACTCCCACTTCAACCCCTACCCCTCGACAAACTCCTTCACAGCCCAATCAACTACCGTTGCAGCAGCAACCTCCAACAACACAGTACCAACCTGTGCCTGTAACTAGCACTGCTGTTAGTGTTGCTCAGCCTGTGTCTCGTGCCACTCCACCAACAACTCCAACTGTGCCTCAAGGGGAAGAAACTCATAAAGTAAATGGAGGTAAGATATCTAAAAGAATGTACATCATAAAAAAGTTATAGATGAATTCATAACAGTTTAACTAATTATGATGCCTTTTTTTTTTAGAAGTGGATAAAACTGAAATAAAATTTACTCCTAAACCACCACGATCTCTCAATCTTCCATCTGCTGCCAACAAAGAAATGAGAGATGCCGTTAGTAATCAACAAAATACTAATAAGAATGTTGAAAGGAGGAAGGAAGTTGAGAAGAAGTCTGCTGGACAAAAAGGTATTCTCTGCTTTGTGTTATATCAATTTTATATTTTCTTATGACTGTTTATATCCTTGATTAGTTATTTTCCTCTCTTTAGTTAGATTTCATTTTAACTTTCAGTTATGTACAGGCTATTGTAGAGTGTTATAAAAAGTTATTTTTCCTTTATCATATCGTGTCATACAGATCAAATCCATTTAAGTTTGAAGAATCACCTAAAGGTGCCTGTGCACAATAATCAAGCTTTTTTTTTTTTTTTTGTTCAATTAACTATTCACATTGTTAAATATTGATCTACTTAAAAATTTCCTTTTTATGACTGTTTACATAAACTCTGAAAAAATTTCAATTTATCTGCACATTCAACATGAAATAATCAAATTTTATTATGCTTTGAAACATTTAGTGAGAGAAACCCATTAATGATTACTCAGAGTATAGAGTTTGAATGCCATTGATAATGTAACTATGCGAAATTGGTTCCTTTTTTTCAAAGTAGAAGAGAAGTTTATCATTGACTATTGAGAAGGCGATCATAAATTTCAGAACAAAAAGCTGGTGGGAAAAGCAGCTGGATTAAGATATTTGACTGCTTTAGGACCTATTTTATGTGGCTCTAAAGTAGTCCTTTGTAACATCATGTTACAGAGTTGCCAACTCTCCCAAGCACTTGGTTTATCTGTAGATTACATATCAAAGAAAACCAAAACCATTTAATCAAGGCAGCGTTATGGTATGCTTCTGTATCAATTTAAACGGTGGGAAGGACCTCGGTGGCCGTATTTACCATCAAGAGAGTGGCCAAGGAATGGTTTCACAATTGACAAAGAAGAAATTGCCAAGAAAAGAAGATGGTTTTGTCTGTGATTAATGTCTGTTCCTATGATATTGAAAAATTGTTAGTGTGAAGGTTTGGATTTATCGATTTGTGAGTAATTGGAAAAAACAAGAGGTGAGAAAGGTGAGCTTATTGCCTTTGAACTTAATGATGCAGAAAAAGTTGTTGCCGATTTTGTTTAAATCCGTACTTTCAGTGGCAAACAAGATAAAAGATCCTCTGCTCAGTCTTGGTCATCTTACGTCCTTTTTAATAGCTGTAACTAGTATTTTAATTTTGCTATCATTTCATAGTGTGTCTAATAAATGGCAATGTATCTTCCAGTTAAAATTTCATAGGTCAATAAAATTTCTCATTAATGTGAAAGGAATCTATCTTAAAGGATAATTGTGTCTTGATTGGTTATTATTGAAAGCATGCAGAAAATTCAACCCAGATCGAGCAGTAAGCCTTCTGACTTTCTTTTAAAATTTCTCACGATTTTTTTTGTAGTTTAGTTCATTCATTTAACTCAAAATATTGATTTTTGGCATCTGATAGCACTTGTTTTTTTCCCTAGATTACATATAAAAGAAAATCGAAGAGGTTGTTTCATCATTGAGATATGGTGCGCTTCTGTTTTGTGTGTGTCTGAAAACTTGTAGTTACGGTTCTCCAATGAGCATCAAGCACTGCTGCGAGTCATTTGCTTATGCTTGTATATGCCGGTGAGCATAAAGCAATATTGGTTGTTATTTTGTTCGTCTCGCCAGTGAGTGCTGCGAGTTTCATGAGCTTCCGAGAAACAGTTTAAGAAATCACCATCTTATATCTTAATTATACCTGCCAGAAAGGTAAAATTCTCATAGACTCTTCAAAAATCATACACAGACGACTTTCCTTCTATTATTTCTTCAAGGAACATAACCTGTCCTTTAATGCATTGGATCATGCTGCAGCTTTATTTAGAAAAATAGATCACTTAGAAGTACTCAAGTGCAAGGGAAAAAAGTTGCAGGTGTAGAAGAAATGAATATGAAAAATGCCATTGATTGTATTAAAACAGTTTCATTCTGCCTCTCTACAGATAGAAGCAATAATACCAATAGAAAACTGTATCCAATTGTTGTTCCTCTTTGTTTTAATCCAGGGTCTGCAGAAATTGAGTGTAGTACTTTCAATCACCTATTTAAGAGATTCAAGAGACTTTAACATAGCATAGTTAATTATTGAAACTTTAAAAGAAAATGCAATTCTTCCGGATAATTCCTTAGCTTGTGATGCTGGCAATGCACTAGTAATGATAGGCTTGAAGATTAGTGTTGCAGACATCTTTAAAAAAATTCAGATTTGTAAATTATGAGATGCCGTAAATTTAACAGTTGAAAGAGGTATAGCTTCTTTACCAGTGAGTGCGGATGAACACATTGTTGATATTTGTTATTATCTTGAAAAGATTTCTAAAAGGGGGAAAAATTGAAACAATTCCAACAGCTGTATAATAATGAAGTAAGTAAACTTTTGAAAACATATATGCTGGTTATCGTTCGAGAAATGTCTATCTGGAGTTTTCGACCAGTGGAACCTACTTACATTTTTTAGGTAAGAAGTAAATGCTTCTAGAGTTAAGATAAAAGGCTCTATTGAAAGTTATAAAGTACCTAAAGTAAATGAAAGTGTAGTTACTACTTGAGAAAAATTAAGTAATTTCCGCACCTGCAAACAATTTAATTGGCAATTCCCAAAATATAAGCACATAGCTCTCCCAAAATAAAAAAAATTGTTCGAAAAAGGGCACATTTTCCATTTTTCTAAGTTTATTTTATGAGGAACAAATATTTTATGTTTTTGTCTTTGGACCTTAACAAAGCCTTTTTCTTTTTTGTATGCCTGATGTTGTCATCATTTGATGTCAACACAATTCTACAGTGCAGAGTTCCATTAATCAGGGTTGCCACGCTACCTGGAAAACCGGGAGAACCGGGAAAAGTCAGGGAATTCGAAAATTGACCAAAATATTCAGGGAAAAGTCAGGGAATTTAAGTATTTTTGTCAAAATCTGGAAAAGTCAGGGAAAAAGTTCATACAACGATCCCGCCAAAAAAAGCGATTTTTGCGCCGACGTCGGAAGAGGTAACTTTTTTGGCGAATTATGTATCACGTGAGTGTCATTCGAGTAGCTGGCATAGAGCCAATTTTCGCAGCTCCAATTTGATTGTCTTTTAGAAAGGCAATCCCACAACTTTTGGTTTCCAGTATTCTCGAGAATCGCATGTGCAGTGCATGAACTAAAGAAAGTACCTGTTCTCGTATAAAACAAAATGGGTTTAATCCTAGTATACGGTACTATGGAGGTTAGAATCAAAGAATATGTATTGTAAAGAAGGAAAACCTCTCTGCAACAGACGTGGCTGTGGCTCGTTCCATCATAGAGGGAAACAGCTGTGCATGTCTGATATATCTGTCATCAAAGCTCGAAACCGGTGTCGAAGTTCGAAGGTCACGTTATCAAGAGTTCATAAAATGAATATCGTTTAAAATTTCTTTAACCACTTGCGCTAAAAAGACGTGCCACGCACGTCAAGATGCTTTTGTCTCAAACCGCGAGCGACGTGAACACCACGTCGATAAGCATTTATCGCAAAAATGAAAATAACGTGGTGCACATGTCGCCTAACAACGAGATTGTTTATTTCTCGAGTTACAGTTCTGGATTGCACTCGCAGATGCGGAGCGGCGTAAATGAGACACTTTAGCGCTTGTTATATTGTAGCGCACGGCACCGCAACCGTGAAGTTTAGTCTTAGCGCAAGTGGTTAAACTCTAAAGGAAAAGAAAATATTTTTTGGCCCAAGTAAATTAATTCATGGATTAGTTATTTTCAGAGAGGAAGAAAAAAAAAAAAAAAAAAACTACGAAAATCCGTTTTTAAAATTATTGCGAAAAATCCAAGAAGAAAAACGTCCTTTGATAAAAACGTTTCTTCTTGGATTTTTCGCAATAATTTAAAAACGGATTTTCGTAGTTTTCTTTTGTCAAAGAGCGTTTCTTCTTAAACACGTGTTTCTCACAATTTCCTGTACACATCGCGGAGAGGGAAATTCTGACCGCCAGGTGCCGTCGCCAAATCCCTTGGCAAATTTCCCTCCGCATTCTAGCGGCGCGTAATAGCATTTTACTTGTATGGAACCTTTTCTTCTTTACATAGACGTTCTTTGGTTAGAATAATAATGGAATTTGGCGACATCTTGATGCGCAGTAAATGGGTCATTTTGGTCTTGGCGACAATTTTCAAAATCGTGCCAAAGCCTTACCGTAGACTAGAATTTTACCGCAAAATCTTTTTAACCCCCCTTTTTTTTTTCTTTTTAATAAATACCTTGCCATTTTGCAGTAAAATAAGAAAATAGTAATCAGTCATCTAGGCTAGCCATGTAATATAACTATATTCGACTAAAATATAGATTATTATTCTAATTCAATTTTTAAGTAATTATTTTTATGTTAGTCATATAATTTAATGTTGCCTTCTTCCCTCTAAATTTATTTATTATTAGTAAATAATATTTCCAAATTTCAGGAAATTTTCTCTGGCATAATCCTGAAATTAATTATAGCAGTATGATGACATACCATCACGAAATTTAATGCACATATTTTTTTCCTTATGTATGCTGCAAAATAAATATAAAATACTTCAATTTATTAAAATAGATTTCTTTCTTTCGTTTAGCTGCAGAATGTCTGCAAAAAAAGCCTTATTTTATTCCAGATTGGGAAGATTCTAATCTCAATCTTCAGTGGAGAAAACAACAACTATTATAATTATATTTGTGTTTTCAAGTGTTAAGGTCTTAAGAACATACCTCACGCAAATTAAATTTACCTAAAATCTAACCTAACTATTTAGCATTATTGCGTTGTGATTTATAAGGACCGGATTAGCCTCGTGTTGAACTGGTAATGATCATGAGTAATAATTAAATAAAGCATACATTTGTTATCCATATATACATCTTAAATTTTATTAAGTTTCTTAAGTGGAAAAGTAAACAAAATTATCAAACAAAGTATACCAAGAATAATTAAGAATAAATGTCCTCTGGGATTTATTGAATAATTAAGTGAATTTGCTACACAATACAAGTAATACCATAATTAATTTACCTCTTAGCACAGCCAACGTACATTACACAGA